TTTTCTGTTGATTTCCTTTGGTTGTTTAATTTGGCTGAGTTTTTTTTAGTGACGTTACTGTTTGTTTATGGATGATTGTGGTGCAGTTCACATTTGGATCGGATAGATTTCCATCTTTTCTGGATATTTGGGATAAGTATTGGTTTTAGCTCATGTTTTCCATGTGCTTGTGTAAATTTGTGCTTTTGTTGCAGCTGGGTTAATGTTGCTGGAATTATGTTTGTTCTTTGTCACCTTTCTTTTAAGTAAACTTGACAGAGGTGGTTTGAATTATGTTTAATCTCTTAAAAAAGATAAGCTTTTGTGTCCTCTCATACCACAAAATAAAAAGTGAGTAAGAAAAAAAAGAAAGGAATCTAGAAGGTTGTGTTTGGTGTATAATATGCCTGTAGTTGTATGTATGAATACACTGGTGATTTTTGTTGAAAATTGTTATCTTTAGACAAAGATCTCGTTACTTGTTTATGATTATTCCTAAACATATTGTATGGTCTTGTATTTGTGTGTGTGTTGTTATATCATGTAACTTATATGCTGGTTTATTTGGTGTTGTGTAGCTGTTTTTTCATTGACCACAATCAAGGGAAAAATGGGTTTTCGGGCCTACATTCCTTACCATTTTCTTTTATCAGATTAGATGTCGCTTTTTGTTTGCATCTTTATTTTTCTTTTTTTTAACATCACACCAAGCATTTCTAGAATGGATATATGAATGAAAGTGGTGTTTGTGCTTTTACACACAGTAACTAGACTGTAATATTTGGGAAGAAGCTCAGTGCAAAGCTCAGTGTTGAAAGTTGCCTGCACCTGCATTTTGATGCTTCTTGATTTACGTTGATGTATTTTTTTTAATTTTTCTTATGTTTATTATCCGTGCAAAATTATGTTTGGTCCTTTAGCCTCAATCATCTGAGTGACTTAACACTTGTAATATCACACATTGTGTAATGAGATGTGAGTAAGGAGGATAAAGGATTTTGGCTAGTTATATAATATATTGCACTCATTTGGTGAACTGGGCTAGAGGTGTGAAAATTTCACAAAAAGAACATTTTTCGTCACTTTCTTTAGCTCACAAGCTGAAAGTTCTTACCTTGTATAATTAGCTAGATCGAAACATAGCAAAATCGAGTGGTATAAGAAAAGATGGGCCAGCCAAATTAATCTTTTTGTTCATTTCTTGCGAATATCTCGTGGGGGTTTTAGTGGTAGATGGCTGCAGATATTCCTTTGTTTCATTTTTCGGTTTTTTGTGAAAAATCATTTTGCATTTTCAAATAATGTTAACTAATTTTTAACGTTGAAGGTGTCCCATGGACGGAAGAGGAACACAGGTTATTTCTCATTGGGCTGCAAAAGCTCGGTAAAGGGGACTGGCGAGGCATTGCAAGGAACTATGTGATATCGAGAACACCTACTCAAGTAGCCAGCCATGCCCAGAAATACTTCATTAGACAAAGCAATGTGTCGAGGAGGAAAAGACGGTCGAGCCTTTTTGATATTGTGGCCGATGAGGTACGTACCCATAGCTCGTTTTTTCGTTTTGTACAAATATTATAGGATATCTTGTTCCTATACCAAATCTCAAATTTAAAAATAATTAAAAAAAAATAGAAGGCCTACAAAAAGAAAAAAAAAACGAAATAAGGTGATTGGTAGGGACTCAAAACTAGTAAAAATCGATCAAAATTGGATCTTGAGTTAAAGTGAGTTATTTTGAATAAAATTGATTGAGTGAGATGAGAGAGATTATAACTAAATGATATTTAAAATGTAATGATTATAGTTGAAGTGAGGTAAAAAGTAGAAGAGAGATGATGGAGGTAGTTAAAAATATGAGAATGGATGGATAGTGAATTAAAGTTTGACGTGATGTAGGAGAGAGATAATTGATACTATTTAATTAATATTAATAATATCGAGGATATCAAGGTTGTGTTAAATGTGAGTTAAATTTTAAGTTAAAGTGAGTGAATCAAATTCTGATCGATCAAAACCAGTTTTGAACGCCTACCAATCACCCCCTAAAAGACTAAAAGAACCCTAAATAAAGCTTAAGGTCCTAAAACCCGAAAAAGAACTACCTTTTTTTTTTTTTTGGAAAACAGACTGAAAAAGAAGAAGGAAGTTAGACCAAAAGTCGAGTCTTTGCTACCCTTTTTTTCTACGTGGTAGGTAAACTAAACTAATTGTACAACTCATCTTATTTCGCCTTATATTCTCTTTGTATAGCCCATTGATTCCGTGATGTCCCAAGAACTTTTCAATGTGAGCTCTCAGCAAGTTGATGCGCAAATCAGCACGCCTCCCATGGAGGAAGAATGTGACGAGTCCATGGAGGAGTCTGCAAAACCCGAAAATGGCGAAATCGTAATTCCCCCACCACTAGAGGGACCCACATACCCTTACCCCCCTCTCGTCTACCCCGCTTATGTGGGCCCAGTCTTCCCGATGATGCCCGTCCAGTTCTGGCAGACCGGGCCCAAGCCCGTCAAGGAAGAAGCCCACCAAGTGGTGAAGCCCATGGCCGTGCACACAAAAAGCCCAATCAAAGTTGATGAGTTAGTGGGCTTGTCCAAACTGAGCCTAGGTGAGTCCTTAGCTGATGGTGGGCCCAACACTCTCTCTCTTAAGTTGGTCGAGGGCTCGTCAACGAGACCATCTGCTTTCCATGCTAGTAATCCGGTGCCCGATGAGTCGGGCATTAAATCGAGTCATAGTCCAATTCATGCCCTTTAGAGAGAGAGAGGAAAAGAATAATAATTAAAAGGTAGAAAATTTGATTGTTATTATTGATTATTGATGTGGATCCCATTTAGGCTCTCTTGGAGATATCCCCTCTTGTTAATAGAAGATATGAGGGTATAGTGTTTAGAGTGGATTTGTGGTAAGTTGATGTTATTTTTTTATTTTGTTAGGGTTTGTGCAATAAGGTTTGTAATTTAAGGAGGGTTTTATTGAAATATGTGACATTATCCAGTTAAAAATTGCTGTTAGATTAACGTCAATATTACTGTTTGAATCGGAAATATCATGTACCAGTGGCTAAGTCGGCATGACTGCAAGGTATTTAAAACACTGATATAACCTATCAGATTGAAACCACCAACTAAATGAACTATTAGTTATCTTGTTCACTATCAACTAGTATATACCCGTGCGATGCACGTTGGGCGCATAACATAAAACATATTGAATTACTTATTTTAAATGTAATTAATCGAATTTAACATATAATTATGGAAACAAAAATAAAAATAAAAATGAAATCATATATTATTAAAAACTTCTCTGCACACAACATTATTTGTTTGATTTGGGGGCAAATCATGTTCACTACATATTAGAATTTTCAAACCCTTTCTGTTGGTGACGCGCGAAACAACAACATATAACTGGTCATGACTGAAAACTGGTTTCTTCAAGAATAAACCAACGTGGGATAAGGATTGACCCTGGCACTTGTTAATAGTCATTGCATAAGAGGCCACGATAGAGAACTGCCTTCGTTGAAACTTAAAAGGTACTCTTGCATCCGAAGGAGTTATCGTTATTCGAGGTATCAACACTTTATCCACTGCATGGTCGCCCGTAAGTATCCTACATTCTAGGACGTGATGGGAGATTCTTCTTACAACCAAACAACCAAACGTGTCACAATCCCATAGAATGATCCATGTTCCGCAACAGCATAACCGGAGTTCCCACCTTCAAATGCAACTCATGATTTGGTGTACCAGAACATTTGAGAGAATTTAAGAACTCAGGAGTGTAGATTTTTGACAAGAAGTCAGAATTCAAATCGGATTTACACGTACTGTCGGAGCTCAAATATACACGACCTTCTGTTAGATTCAACGATCTCCAATGTAGTGAGCATCTCGTGCGATGCACGGACGGACTTGTTTCTTGAGACATTTTTTTTAAAAAAATTATATTTAAAATGTAATTATTTATATTTAAACAACTCATTATTTTAAATATAATTATTTATATTGAAACGATAATTACGGATCAATTTATGGAATTGGGATATGTGATAGTTTTGCAGTTATCTTGCTAAAGAATGGATTGTGTAAGATTTAAATAACGTGTCATTGTATTTTTTTGTTATCTAATCATTTTTATTAACTTGTCTCCAGCATAAAAATTATGAAAATATTCAAATGCATACGTGATTTTGTAAGAAAATATCTATTTTTTAATTTAATGACTACATTAAAAATAAATTTAAAGGATCAGAATAATATACTATAGTATATATATATATATGTATATATATATGAATAAAAATCAATTATCTCGAACTCTCTATATATACAAATATATGTAAAAAACATTAATTATCTCAAATGTAACCACTGAACAATTTTTTAGGTATTTATAATGTTATGATTATTGTCTAATAACTAATTATATTTGAAAATATATAAAAATATGCTAACTACTTTTAATTTTCATGAATTTAGTGGGTAATAAGTTCTTAAATATAGCTAGAATCTAATGTAATTTTTATCTATACAAAATATTAATGGCCCCAAATCAAGAAGATTTGTTTGCACTTATTGATACTCAATTGATGTATATTATAAATTAATAAATATTGTCAATTTTGTCACATACATCTTTTTCATTTTAAAATGAAATTGTTCTTCCAAAAATGGTGTTAGGAATATCTGCTGTCAAACTCAAAGATTGTTAGATTACTCATACAGAAATATAGAAAAAAAATATTTTGAAAGGATACCAATTAAACTAACGGACTTATATGGATTTAAATCAAAAGGATAAAGGAAAACATGTGTTACAAAGAGTAAAAATTGGTTAGATAAATATTGACTCATTCAATTTTTTTTTAAAATTCGAAAAAAGTGTTTAAGGCGGGATAAATGTGAACCAAATAAAAATGTTTTAGATAAATATTGACTCATTCAATTTTGGAAGAAATCTCATCCAAAATGAAAGGAATACCATCCAAAAACAGTTTCCAAAAAAATTCAAAGTTCCAAAAAACAGATTTAAGCGGAATCTGAAAAAATTTCAAACACAATATTAGGGGAAAAAACAGGTTTTAAGCGGGAAAACGAAATGATTTTTTTCGAATTGTTCAAATAATTTTTCTTCTCCGTATTATATAGTAACTAGTACGTAACCCGTGCGATGCACGGGATGTAAAATTTGAAAGAATAATATAATCTCACGTGCATTAGGATCGAAATTGAAATCATTAAAATACATAGGAACATTGTTGAATCATAAAAAGTTCGGTAACAATCATATATTATTAAAAACCTCCTTATACACAACATTATGCGTTTGGTTATTTGGTAACTCCTCATTATCACAAACTAATATTTTCAAAAGAGACAAATCCTAAAAATCAAACTAATATTTTTGGTGAACAAACAAATATTTTAGGATTTGTGAACAAACTAATATTTTAGGATTTCTAGGATTTGTCTCTTTTTGGTGAACAAACTAATATTTTAGAATTGGTTATATGAATAAGGCTACCTGTTTTTGGTGTTCTTTTCATTCATTTTCATTCAAACAATCCGGTGACTTGTATAATGAAATCCAAATCTTAAGCCGAAATATTTAAAAAAAGAGTTTTTAAAAATTGAAAAGTCAAGGCAATCAGTTTAGATTAATTATTGAAATAAAGACGTGTGCTATCATTAACCAAATATCCGGTTATTGATATAGAGTGGTTACCAAAAAATAGAACGCGATAAGGACGCTCCATGGAAATATCAATGGGATAAGATCATAACAGAGATCGCTATACATTTTAACGATAAAAGCTCAGATGGAATGATTTATGATAATTATGTCGTAATTAATGAATTAATTAGATGTGTGAAAAGGACATAATTAGTAAGAAGTGTGAAAAAGACATAATTAATGAGAAGTGTGAAAAAGACAAAAACTTACCAATTTTAGAAAATATTTAATGCAAATCCGACATTGACCATAATTTGACCTACTATTTTAGATAAATGTTAATTTTTATTATATAAGTATAGATAGATTAGTTTTCAATTGAATTTACTTCACATACAATCAGTGTTTTAAAAATAGAAACTGTCCATTAGTTAAAGTACGTGCAATTTCATATGCTAAACCAAGCCCGGCCCAACTTGTGGTTATATTATATCTCTTAAAAATATGAGGAAGACGTTTATTGCCATTTCCATCAATTCGAACTTGATTAATTCCAACAATGAAGAAACACATGTTGTTAATGCCAACTCATGCTCTTAACTCGTTTTCTCTCTAATAAGTGCACCAAATAATTAGCTTCCAAATTTAAATTTATATATAGTTTTACTTTAAATTTATTTTGAGTTTATGAACCAAATCTTATAAAACGCTCGGTGATTGACCCAAACCATATAGTCAAAGACGTCGCGACTCATTCACTTTAAGGCACGACGTGAACAAGTCTTGAGGTGGCATAAAACGCTCGGTGATTGACCCAAACCATATAGTCAAAGACGTCGCGACTCATTCACTTTAAGACACGACGTGAACAAGTCTTGAGGGGGCATTTGTAGATAAAATTTTTTTTATGGCCAATCAAATGGCGCCACGTGGAAATTAATTATTAAAAATCAAGTCATAATTTTTATTTATATTTTAGGAATTTCCACATATCTAATTCCTAAATTTAAATAGTTAATTAATTGATATTTTAATATTTCAATTCTTGACCAATCAAATAATGCCAAGTGTCAAACCTTATTTTTGGTAATAAATCACATGTCTTCTAAAATATAATGGGAGATCTAAGTAGATCTTATTTGAATCATCATGGACCAATCAAATCGCATCCTACGATTCTTAAATTTGGTAGGGTTCTCTCTACTGCACCTATAAATAGGGCTCTCCCTAAAGTCAAAAAAACAAAACTCATAATTCATATTTAAGTTCAAAAGCTCTAGAGAATTTTATCGACGAGATTCAAGTATTCTTGAAGATTAACGTTTAATCCGGCATGGAGAAGATTCAAGATCTACTTTATCGTTCGTGAGAAGAATCAGAGGAATAATAGATATTGTACTCACTATATTTATTTGATTCGATAAATTCATTTGACTAATATTTTTCGTGTTTATAAATTCAATACACTAAATTTGTTGTTACTAAAAAATAGTTTTCTTTTAATTGCTAATACCATGATATTTTGGTAGCTTTCACATAGATGCTTTTGGGTACAAAGGAAAGAACATTTTCATTTAATGATGAAAGGGAGGAGCTTGTGAAGAGGTAAGGTTGGTCGCACAAAATAATTACGTACTGTGGACATGAAATATTTGTTGAGAAATCAAATCACATATTTCAAAATCGAGTTTTGATTTCTAATCTTTTCTGTACCCTTTGTATTATTTCAAAATTATTTTAGATATTTCATATTGTCGTTTCTATATAAANCATTTTGGAAGATTAAATTTGTCTGTTCCAATCATAAACGTTACACCCCAATAGTTTGATGAGTTTCTAATAAGTCTTGTGTTGGAATTATGTGAGGCATTGTAGATAAGATTTTTTATAAGATTTGTGTTGTGTTTCGAAGCATTTTCATGCCCCACCACATGCTTTATTTGTTTCTTATATGCGTCATCTTATATAGAAAGTAATAAAAGTTGAAGTCTATATGCTTTTAGTCCACATGATTTGAAATCAAAGTTTGATACTTTTGATTATTTATCTCACGTTATTAAGACATTTTCCAAATTTTTCTAATTTTATTATCAGTTTTTCTTCACTAGACAGTAGCTTTGAGACTTCGATCCTATCCGAAATGAAATAAGTATCGTTTTATAGGAAAAAAATACCAATTTATATTGTACGCAAGATTAATGTTGAAAAATTGTGCTATGATATCTTGTTTATGCTTCAATATTTTCGTGTTATTTGTTTTATTGGATTATGAATACAATAATAATAATAAGTCAAAATTTTGACTAAATTGTTTTTATTCAATAATTTACACAAAGTCATGAACTCTCTCCGTTACGTTTTAAATATCGTTTTTTCGTATTCAATTGTACTATTACACATGAATTGTTAATAAATCCTTATTTTTCTGTTGCACAATATTTATTTTGAAATAGAGGGAGGGATAGTTATATGTTACTTTTCTAGTAATAATCTTTTTCTTTGTGTGTACTTTTCTTTATTTTTCATACTATAATTACCCCGTTTCTAGTTTAAGATTTTTTATGCTATATATAATAACAACTTAATGATTATAATTAATTCCTTTTCCGTTAATGTTAAAGACAGCCAAACATAGACATGACATTCTAATCAAGCAGGTGAGAAAATAGAGGAAAATAGTAATGCGGTACCATTTAGCCTCCCTCTGACCCAACATCAAATCTATCAACTAAATTGAAACATTAGCGTACTTCTATTTTATGTTATTTAATATTTATAGAGCATGTTCATTTCATGTTATCAATAATATTATCCTCAGATCAATAATGATAAACAATTTATCAATAATTGAATACAAACTTTTATATGATATGGCCCAATAGTTAAATAGGTCGACATAGTTTCTTACAAATATACTAGTGTGTATCCTGTGCGCTGCACGGAGGAGTTTTTACTTAAAATCTTTTCTAAGACTTTATATTATACATAGTTATTTATGTTTAACATCTTATTATTATAAAAAAAGAAATACTAAATATGAAAAATTATATATTATTTATTTGAATATAATGAGTGTCCCAACCAAACTAATAACATCCAACATATGATATAGGATAAAATTAATTATATGATCGTCATACTTTTTGAAAAAATATACATATATTTCTAATAAACATGTAAGATCCGCATTTAAATTTGTATTTGGATATGGGATGAAAAATGAATATGTACAAATAAAAAAGTACCAAGAACCTACATAAAATGAGATTCTTTATAAACTTTAAAATATTTTGTAGTTAAGCAAATATTAACAAACAAAATCATCAATTAAGTTGAACTTATCGAATATAAAATATAATTTATGATATCATTGACCATATTTACCCGTTGTATTTAAAGTTATCATTGACCATATTTTTATGAATTAGGGTTTACAAAATATCTTTTTCAAAATAACAATTTTTTTTAATTTGAATTTGACTTTTTCATCCAACCGCCATTTTCCACAAGAATAAAAATAGTATTTTGGAAAATTTTAGACGTGAAAATCAAATAAAATTAATTTAATAGTAATCGATTAATTTAATATTATTCAAAATTGTTTAATTCGGTCAACCCGATCTTAGTGCACGTTTCATTGAAACAATCGCTTACCAAAAAAAAAGGTAATCGCTTACAAAAAAAGGAAGTGAAATCTATCTATATAATATAAATCAGATTTGAAGAAAAAAAGGAAATGAAATTTCATAATTAATTAACTTAAATTGATGTTATTCGATTTATATCAACTCCCTTCCGAAAAAAAAGGAAATATCCGCTTCCTACCAAATCGATTTAAAAAAAAAAGGATTATGATATACGTCCAAATAAATTACAATTGAAATGTAGGCGGGATTATGAAAAAAAAATAAAAAAAACTTTACCGAATGTTTGAAAAAAAAAATCGGATTAAAAAAATTTAAAAGGAAAAAATTCAAAACGTGAAATTAAAATTAAAAAAATTAAAAATACAAAATTTACCAAATCTCAACCTATCAAAAAAAAGGAAAATCGAGTGAAATAAAATGTGAAAAAAAAAGGAAAAGCGAGTGAATTAAAAATGTACCCAATCGGATTTTAAAAAAATGGTAACAAATCTCATCTCATCCTAAAGAAAAGGAATTATAACAAATTTAACAAAAAAACAACCAAATCTTATCCTAAAATAAAACAATCCGATTTTCATAAATCACATCCAAAATCAAATTAAGTTAGGCGGGATAAATGAAAAAAATTCAAAAAGAGTTTCCAAAACAGGTAATTTTCGAAAAATTTGAGAGGGAAAAAATGATGTTTAAGCGGGAAATGAAATATTTATTCAAACATTTTTCCTTCTCCATATTATATAGTAATAGATATTATTTCTAAAATAATATGATTACTTAATTATTACTCTTTAGTTATACTTGAAAGATAAAATCACACAGAACCAAAATAAAATAAAATTACATGGTCATCCTCATCATCATCTCATCCTCCAAATCCAACCCACGCACATGGGAAAAAAAAAAAATTACCCAAAAAAAAATTCATTTCCAATCCAATTTCTATATATGAACACCCTTTTATTGTTTGCCATTTCACATTCTCTAAAGCTTTTCTCTTTTAATCCTCTCTTTTTCATTTAAAAAATCCTACTTTGTTTGCTCCTTTCAATTTCTCCCAAAAATCAAGATAAAGTAAAGAGCAGATCAATTTTAGTGAGAGAAAATGGTGGTGGAAAAAGAAGACTTGGGTTTGAGCTTCCCTAATAATAATAATAATAAATCTTCATCTTCTCATTCATCAATAATGCCTCTCTCTTTCATCAGCAAATCAGCGGCTGCCTGGGAGCAAACTCTCCCCTTTTCAGGCCTTTCTCTAATTCAAAATCTTTTTTTCTTCTTTGTTTTATTATTATTATTATTATTATTATTATTATTATTATTATTATTATTATTATTATTTTCTTGGTTGATTACCAAAATTATAGAAATTCTTGTGATAAGGCAGTTTAAGGCAGATTGACATATCATATTTTCTTACTTAAATGTATATTTATGCTATAAAACGTCATACTTTTATTTATGTCATTTTTTAAATATAACATTTTAGTTTGAAACTAAAATTATGAATATCTAATGAAAAAAACATGTTTAATGGCAGCCTTATTCAACAACAACAACATAGCCTTTAGTCCCAAGTAAGTCGGAGTAGGCTAGAGTATGAAACCAAGAGAAACAATGACAGCCTTATTAATGAAAGAAAAAAAACAATAAGCGAGTGAAATTATAAAACCAATTTTTCATTTGATCACTTTTATTTATTTATTTACTTTTTTTATGTTTGGTGAATTATTTGGTGAGATTTGTGAATAAATGGAATTTAATTTGATGTGACTTTGGGGACGGCTTGCAGCTGGTGGGCGGTGTGTGAAGGGCGGCGCGTGCTCTCCAAACAGCACGATCTGGAGTTCGAGCGGGAAGAGGAGCGGTGGTGAGGTGTACGGTGACGTGGACAGGGCTTGCTCACGTGGCACCAGTGACGAGGACGAAGATGACACAGACGACACTAGTTGTCCGAACAGAAGTGGTAGTAATAAGGAACTGAGGCTGTCTAAAGATCAGGCAGCCGTCCTTGAACAAACCTTCAAAGACCATAATACCCTCAATCCCGTAAGTTATATATATGGATGGAAAAAAATGAAATTTTGTTAGATACTCCAAATTTACTTTATTTTTGTTTTGTTTTTGTCACTCGATTTGATACCCAACATTTCGTCCGTTAAATAGTGTTTATCGTTGCTCGAAACTAATAGGTCGTAAAAAACAAGGACACTTGATTTTTCTTTAGTTGATATCAGAAATATGTTTTGTTTTTGCCATATATCTATAAATTGATAGATCGGGAAGGTTAGTGTGAGGTATAGGAGTGAGCAAAGTCGAGCTGAACCTGAAAAATTGAGCTGAACCGTGCAATTTGGCGTAAGTAGTGCATTATTTAGTTACTTTTACACAAGTTTGATTTTCGGTTTAGTGAGGTTATGCAAGAAACGACCCGGATTAAATACAAATGAACAGAAAAGCAGAGATAAAATTGAA